CCTCGACGTCTTCCACAAGTTTTTTTCACTTTAACCACAGGTTCTTAATTTTTCGTTGGTGATGGAACCTCTGCTCACGTCAAGACATCGGTACTTGATGCCTTGGCCTGTCATTTGATGTTTAGCGCAAACAGTGTAGGTTGAGAGTCGAGCCTTCTCTCATGTTGTCTACGTTTTAGTCCCATAAAGGAGTGGGCTCACAATACAGGTCTTGTATATTAAGTCATGATGGTTGATTTCTTGTCGCTTTGTCAGTTGACCAAAGTTATTCCAGACTGATGTGAGAGAATGGTTGAGCCATGTAACTGAGCCTGAATCATTAGCTCAGAACTGGTTCTTTGGGACATTACTTCAATATACACGTTTGCAACTTGAAGGTGTCGCAAGCTCTTGCAAGGATGGCAATAAACATCTGCATCGTTGCTCCATCCATCATCTGCAAAGAGTTCTCTGATCAGTGCTTTTTTCAATCTTGGTCTTAGCTGTTAATTTAGCTAGGTTGAATAATGAGCCACCAGCTCTTGCTTTAACAGTACGTCTCCTGGACGGTCCTGTTAACCATTTTGTAGCAGAGCGTAAAGATGAAACTGAACACGGGTCGAGGACACAGCCCTGCTTCCGTTCCTTTGAACTAAAAAAAGAGTCAGGTGGACTGTAGCAGTCATCTCCGAATGGAAGGTGATAAGTCGCAACGTAGTGACGGTCCTGATCTATTGACTTTGTCCTTGTTCCCAGTCCTTTTCTTGTAGCTGCTGGAGGGTAATTATCACAACCACCGTAGATATTTCATTTCTCCCCCCCCTCATCCCTTGCTCGTTGTTGTGGTGGGGGCTTAGGAGACGGAGCCTGAGGTGTAATGTAGGGACCTCCTCTTCCTTGGACCTTAGCCCTCGCCTCAACTAATTCTACATGGTCATTTCTTCTCTCTTCCTTTTCCTTCTCTTCTTCACCCCTTCTTCTGGCCACTTATCCTAATCGTTAACTAATTTTTACCCTTTTCGCTAGAGTACTTTATCGTAACGTCACAGACCTTTGATGCTGGTACATTTCTTTGTTTTGACCATTAATCATTTTGGAAATCCGCAAACATCTCCTTATATATATAAAAAGGTCATTACATAAGGGCTATGTCCCCGAGCCCCACCCTATCGCCGCTAATGACCTTAGATGTTGACGCGACAGAAACAAAAGTATTTCTTCCAATTCTAAAACCATTATGTGAATCTATGAAGACTCAGCAAGAGACGACAGGCGCATTTTCTTAGTATTTCTTCATGGCCTGGACGATTTTCCCCAAGCCTGTCTGCAGATGTCTTCATACACATCTATATGTAGAAGTTATCCCCAGTCACTTGGGCTGTTCCTAAAATACGAAAGCCTTTCCAGTTGTGCTTAGACGAGAGATGCTTCTATTATTGTTACATTTTGTCACATTTGTTTTTGTACTGGCTTAAGATATTTGCGTATCAAGTATGGAACTTTCTCCAATACTAAAGGAGGAGAATTGCTGTCGTTAATTTTGAGACAGTAAATGTAAAATAAAAGTGACTCTCAGTGATAATGTTTTAAAAGGAAGTATGACAGCTAGAACTTGATAATTGTGTTTGTTTGGAGTAAACAGAGACGTGGCCAAAACTGAATAGTCCATTAAGAATAAAAAAATATTTTCTCTTTCTGCAGCAGCCAAACACAGCGGGAAGACCAAAGAGCGTTTATAAAGGAGTGGGTTTGACTCTCCACTGAACAATGACAATGGACGGTACAATCTTTATTCCATTTATTTACTCTATTTTTCATTGTTTTATCCTTCTACTCTGACCAATAACACTGTCATTAATATTTGCTATCATTTTCTATTCAGATAAGTTTGTTTAAGTTATCGGTCATTTTGATAATGTTGCGTCTCATTAGACCTAAATTATGGGAGAGAAGTCCAAAGTAATTGAATAGTTGCCCCTAATGGCACGATTCCGTTTTCTTTGAACACGTATGTACGGGGATCCCATTTTATTTATCTAAATCTCAGGAAAGTCATGTAATGTGAGGATTAAGACAGAAGTGCTTATAATACATGCGAATATGAAAAGCAAACATTTTTGCTCAACTTTTCCTTCATTGATAAACATCATCATCAATCCTCCTCCTCCTCCTCCTCATCATCATCATCATCATCATCATCAATATCATCATCATCATCATTATTACTGTAAACCTACTGTTGATTAAAGCGTTAACGTTTGTGACGATTTTACCACACATGGCAATCGTCTGTATGTACCGCTGTGTCCAAAAGCGAAGCTCTAGAATCATGGTCCATATAAGCATAGAGCTTATTTAGAATATAGACCCTGTTAAGAATATCCGTGGCGACGTGGCATGGAATCTGACATTGGTATGGCGAGTGCGAGAGTTGTGTAAAGCTGTAATTGGAAATAGCTAACAGATGTTCAAAACCACTCACTCGTGCTTGGCTGTTCCCAAAAGGTGTATCATCGGGTCGTCAATTTTGTAGAAAGGTAAGGAACGATAAAATGATAAAATTCGATAGTATTTTGGTGATTCTCTCTCCTCTGTCTCTGTCTCTCTCTCTCTCTCTCTCTCTCTCTCTCTCTCTCTCTCTCTCTCTCTCTCTCTCTCTCTTCTCTTTCTCTCTCTCTCTCACCCACTCTCTCTTTCACTCTCTATTTATCTCTTTACCCATCTATCAGCCGGTTTCTTATTTCCTCTTTCTCTTACGAAATACCCTACCCTTTCTCTTTTTTTTTCTCTCTCTCTTTATCTCTCTCTCTCTCTCCTCTCTCTCTCTCTCTCTCTCTCTCTCTCTCTCTCTCTCTCTCTCTCTCTCTCTCTCTCTCTCTCTCTCTCTCTCTCTCTCTTTCTCTTTATCTCTCTCTCTCTCTGTATGTGTGTGTGCATGCATATAAATAGGTATATAAATATTTATATATACATATAAATTGCAGTCACCTTTAAAAATGATTGCAAATGTATTCATTAGAATTACTGGAAATAAAATCTAAAGACATTTTCAATAATAACGAGTACGTTAGGAAAGAAGAGAATAATGGACAAAAAAAAATTTATTCGAAGTTGATACATATCGTTTTCCTCCTTTTCTTCTTTCCTTTTCTCTTGTCCCTTCGTCGTCTCCTTCGCCTTTTTATTTATTCCTCCTCATTTTCTTTTTCTTATTTATCGTCTTCTATTCTTCTTCTCTTTCATCTTCTTTTCCAAGTGAAGGGATAATCAGGAGAGGTCAAAAAACATTCGATTTTCTGTTATAATCATAATATTCATCTTTTTATTAATTTCACTGTATCTTATATATATATATATATATATATATATATATATATATATATATATATATATATATATATATATTTATATATATATATATATATATACATATATATATACATATATATATATATATATATATATATATATATATATATATATATATATATATATATATATATATATGCAGATATAAGTATGATATGTATATACATATATGAGTGACAAATATTTTTTTTTCCATATTTTTCTTTTATTGTTCATCAGATACAAAGTTATATCTGAAACCTCGGTATGACGTGTATCGGTCTAACTGTATTTCGCTACACTCATAAAATAAAAAAGGGACAAAAACATGCATTTTTTTCATATCGCTTTTATTCAAGCATTTGCAACAGTATTTCCAGCATCAATGAATGAGAAACAACGTTCATACGGCAGACACACCCTCTCGAGTGCTGCCTTTAAACACAACGATAATATACGAAGACCATCCAGATCTCTGAATCGACACACTACTCCATTGGCACACTAATGCAGTTGGCTGAGAGGTCTCCTGATTGTACCATAGGGAAAAGGACAACTGGGAATGATGGAGAAATCGCATAATAAACCCTTCCTTTTCTGTGTAAAACGGTCACATCCAAGGTGGGTTAGATGGCGAGCGATAGAAAGAAAAGTATGGTGCTATCTGTTTTGATAAAAATTTAACATTAACAATCATAATATATCGTTCGGATTATGCACCATGTTGTCTACTGCTTAACGATTGAAAAAGAATGATACACAGAACGCTCATATAAAATATTATTTTTCCTTTGTCGTAAAAGAAGCTTGGAAACAACTACTATTGTATTCGAAAACCGTTTCTGAATTCAGCAGTGAACGGAAACAAAAGACGATCATTATCAAGACGAGCAAAAGGGAATCGAATTATCGGAATAGTACAAGATAGGGATGGTGCTCGTATGGTTCAAATCACACAAAACTATTTCTAGAAACAAACAACTAAGGCTGACTACTATTAGGGTGAAGCAGAGCGCCTTCAGGAAGCCAAGAATGTCATAGGAGGAGTTAGGAAACAGGAAAACTATCGCTAAATTATGCGATAGTTACCTCGAAAACTGGTTAATGACTATCTACGCCATAGTAACTATTCTGCCGAAGAAGCTCCCACTATGTCTACTCTAACAGATGCTGGTTTCGAAAATAAATGTTTCAACACAGAATACTGAAAGACGTGGTTTCAGTAAGCGGCTATATGCTAACGACCAGGTAACCAGGACAAGGAAATTGGAAAACTAAAAGAATAACAAAAAAAGAACAATACTTTTGGTCTCTTTCTCTTTCTCTCTCTCTCTCTCTCTCTCTCTCTCTCTCTCTCTCTCTCTCTCTCTCTCTCTCTCTCTATGTACATATAAACCTCTGTGTTTTGTGTGTCATATTGTGCATATATACTGTGTGTGTGTGTGTGTGTGTGTATGTGTGCGTGTGTGTGTGTGTGTGTGTGTGTGTGTGTGTGTGTGTGTGTGTGTGTGTGTGTGTGTGTGTGTGTGTGTGTGTGTGTGTGTGTGTACGTATATTTACTTACAAGTGTTATATGTATATCGTATATGTGGTGTGTGTGTGCGTGTGCATATGTATATGTGTGTGTGTATCATATATATATATATATATATATATATTCATATAAGTATATATATATACATATGCATATAAGTATATATATATGTGTGTGTGTGTATTATATATATGTATATATATGCATATATATATATACACACATATATACACATGCATACTTACACATGCACATATCTAACACTCAAACATATCTCCAGAGGCATCTCAAGCACAACCACAGGGCATACAGCCGCTCTGCGTGCCCGACCCAAGGTTCAACCACTACTGCTATAGCCTAGGCCTACCACCTACACGTCTTAAAGCCAAGAACTCTACACTTTTAGCCTTTCTGCGCTGGTTACTCGTTGAAGTTGACGTCCCTGAGGCCGAACTGCCCGTTGGACGAGTCGTAGTAGTTCGGAGAGTCCTCGCAAGGGATGGAGTCGTTGGGGAAGTCGCAGACGAGGGTCACCTGCGGGAGGGGGGAGGAGGGGGGAGGGGGTGATCAGCTGGGATTTTTGTGAATGGAGGAATGGCTTTGATTGTGTGTGTGGGTGTGAATGACTGTGCATATGAGTGCTTAAATGTTTCTGTTTATAAGCAACCTTGTTTGTCTGTGTTATATATATATATATATTTATTTATTTAGCTATACATATGTATATATACACATTTATTTGACAATGCAGTATTACGTGTAGTTTAATCAAATACGTATAACTTAATAATATTAAAGTCTAAGCAAAAAAAAAGAAAAAAATGTACACCCCCAGTAACAACAAAACAGATTTACTCCCGCCATCAAACATCTTGGCAAAATCAAATATGAAAATAAAAGAAGCTTGATACAAGAAGTGTCTTAACGATAAAAACGTAAAATAAGTAAAAAAAAAAAAAAGTACACCCCCAGTAATAACAAAACAGATTTATTCCCGCCATCAAACATCTTGGCAATATCAAGTATAAAAATAAAAGGAGCTTGATACAAGAAGTGTGTTAACGATAAAAAGTAAAAAAAAACAAAACAAAAAAAAAACACGTTCTATCAGCCAGATAAGTGTAATCTCATCGCCCTCTTCTCTCGCCATTCCTTTTACTTTCCCGCCATCTGCCTGATTCGTGACTCAAGTTATGGCCAATTAACCCTTGGCTGTGCGGCCGGCAATTTGCTCCGTTAAACCACCCTAAACATTTTTAAAGCATTCTCCCCCGCAAAGCGCCAACCCAATAGCCCACAAACCGCATGAAAATGATGACATAAACACTACCATCACCACGCGTTACTAGAACCCGTGGTAATTGAGCTTTCTCTCGCCAGGGGGCCGAACGCAGCGCGACTATATGCATTCGCTGTCAATCTGCTTGCGTCTTTCCAAAATCGATTATTATTCGTGATCAAACTGACTGTAATGGTTCTGTTAATCTTCTGTTGCTATTTTTAGCCGAAGGGGTAGTGTCAGTAGGCTGTATGAGTAATAGTAATAGGTTTAATACTTTCAGTGTTAGCAGTAGACATTATCATCATTATTATCTATATTAAGCACCTTAACATGATGTTACTTTGTTACTTTGTAGGTCATTATTATCATCATCGCCGATAAGTTATTGACACTATCTCACACCTATTGCAAATGTGATTTTAATCAAAGCAAATATTTCTTTTTCTCTGAAATTATTTCTTAACTTAACGAGATAATGAGCCATGGGTAAGATTATATGACAAAAAAAAAGAAAAATAGATGAAAAAAATGAATAAAACAATTACCTAAGTTAAAGGGATAGGGAGTGAACTAACTATATCACAAGCATGTGTGTATATTCATACAAACATGCATACATACACATCAACACTCAAATACAATAAGCATTAGTCACAGCAACATCATCAACATAGCAACGTTGCAAAAACTGTCAATCAACACCCCAAAACAACAACTTCCACAGCAACATTTCAAACTGCTAATCAACACCCCAAAAGCAACAACACCCACAGCAACATTGCAAATTTGCTAATCAACACCTCGCTGATAACAGGCGTGGCGTCTCGACCTAGAGAGTCGTGTTCCCTTCACGATTCGCTAATCTTTTTGGCTATAAAAAGGTTTCCAAAGCCGTTTTACTATCTCTAATACCGACTCGTCCCGTTGACCTTTCCCATGACCTTGTTAATGACCCTGTGCACCCCCGAACATACTTAAGGATGGGAAATGACGATGTTCCGTGATATTGTGACCTTGTTTCGCGCGGGAGGAAAAAAAAAGTCGATATCGGACAAGACTTTCTTCCTCTTACTGTACTTGCTGACCTTCCTTGACTCTCTCTCTCTCTCTCTCTAGCTCCTTGGGTCTTCTTCTTGTTTCTTTCTCCCTTTGTTTGGTTTTGATTCGATTTTTTGTTGTTTTGTTATCCTTTCGCTTTAGTTTGTCTACCTAGCTCTCGTATCCTACTATCTCTCTCTCTCTCTCTCTCTTTCTCTTTCTCTCTCTCTCTCTTTCTCTTTCTCTCTCTCTTTCTCTTTCTCTCTTTCTCTCTGTCTCTGTCTGTCTCTCTCTCTCTCTCTCTCTCTCTCTCTCTCTC